ATTTCAATAAGAAACGAAGGAAAGAGTCGAATGGGATTGATAAATATCGCCTTATCCTCTTAATACTTTCAAAAATCCAATAGATGTGTTTCGTAGTCTATGAACTCTTTGAAATCGCATATATTGGGTGTGGGTGTGGGGTGTGGGTGTGGGTGGGTGTGGGTGTGGATGCTAATGAAGAGTAGACTAACACCTATCCACACCCACACACACCCATCCACACCCACCCACACCCACCCACACCCACCCACACACACCCACCCACACCCACCCACACCCTCACCCACCCCGGTAGAAATAATGGGCTAAGGATAGAAAGAGGTCGTTAGATGCAAAATCAATCAGCAGCACTAGACAAAGGGTCTAAAATGAACTGGTTTCTAGCTGGCTAGAACCATTTTTAAAAGAAAGGAAAAAAAGGTTCGAGATAGAATCAGATTATGCTTGAACCTCAAAAGTTTCTGAAAATGGTACCCAAATCTAGAACCTTTTAAGGTTCAGTCTGACAGCTTTTTTTACAGAGTAATGAAGTGATAAAAAATGGTGGAGAACAAATACATAAGAATTGCATAGGTTTTTGTCAAATCATATTATTTTGTGTATTTATAATCCAGAGCGTGTCTTATTTTGTTAATAAAATTATTTACTGATCGTTTTCGAAAAATTCATCATTACCTTGTTGTGTTCATATTTTTCTTATTCTAAGGGAAGATGTTATTCAATCATATATCGTGTGAAAGGCCATCTTGAGTACTTGAAATTGATATAAAAACATAAAGGTTGAACACTATTCTATATATCAATATAAACCATTTTTGTCGTGTTCCAAAACTTATGAAACACTCTGTATATTTTTTGTATGTGTATTATGTTTTATTTTCATTGGATCAACAATTTTCATATAGGAAAAAGATGGTAAAGCAACCAGTCATTCATCCAAAATATTTGATTTTTCATATTTCTTAGAATTATGAACATGCGCTCTATTTATAATTGATTTATTCAATTTTATATTTTTAATTTTCTTGTGAATTAGCATTAATTGTGTACAACAATTTACAATTTGTTGATGAATGTTGATGGAATTAATAAATGGAATGTATTCAAATCTAACACTGTTAGTAGTAAATTTCGTCAGCACCGTACAGCAAGCTTTAAAAAACAACCTAAAATGCATTACTTGATGATTATCTATTCAGTTATGATGAATTTATTCAATGTGTTAAATGATTGATAATAGACAATGTCAAACATAAGACTCGAGATTTGTTGTTTTCTAGTTACATATTAGATGGAGAAGAAATACCATTATATGTAGAAATAAAAGACGTTATTAATATTGAAAAAGGATGGAGATTTATTGATAATTATTATGACATAGTAGCATTTAAACAAAATTTGTGATGCTATAAAGTTATTCCATCAGATATTTATATGGTATTAGTTAAAAAAGAATTTTTAACATATAAACCAGCAAACTGTTACCATTTAAATAATTCATGACAAAAATAGATATCCAGCACTTGATAAAATATTTGGTGAAGATATAGTGTGTTTGATAGAAGATTGAATGCTTTTGTTGTCATCTTTATTTAATTTTTTTTTCTCATTTAGAGTTTATTGACATCAGCATTGAAACAATAATTCTCTCGTCATCGATAAGTATCCAGTTGTTCATCTGAAGTGCCACCGAAAAAAGTCCCTCATATGGACATCAAATGTCATGACGAAAATTGAAATTTATAAACATCGAATTGGTATCTCATGCAGTAAGTATTGAATTACCATTTTACTATGTGAAAGTTTTTTCTCTTTTTAGGAATATTTAGTCAAAGAAAAAGAATAATCAAAAAATTCTCTGATGCAATTGGGTCAATGGATAATAAGATTAATGCATGTTTTAATTAATACAACAAATTATGAATATGGCCAAGTTAAAGATAAAATGGATACAGCATTTACTCATCGTCAACGTTTTATTCAAGAAATGAAACCAACCACAGAAATTGTCGAATTATATCCGAGTTTGTCAGTGGTAAACGTAGTAAATGTTAAAGACTGTATATATTGATATATTTGTTATTTATTTAGTTTTATTCACAGCTGGTGCGTGGAATAAATCTTCATTCTGACTCATTTAATGCACATATTGTTTTAGCATTAAAATTAAATTGTATAAAATTGATTAAGTATTTAGATCAACAACGAAAACAAAAAAAAAATATTGATGAAGGTAATACATTTTATTAATCTTCGTATATATCATTTCCTTGTTTTCTTTATTTTATAAGAACAAGCACTTTTCACACTGAAGGGTCTGACCATAAGTCACTATAAGCACTCGAAAAAATTGTTATTGAATCACCTGAGTAATTTCAATAACTCTTTAAGTTATTATATTATTCTCACCATTTAATTTTATCATTACTTATTTTAGGAAGCAATTGATGCCGATGCAATGATACAAATACAAATGATTAAAAATATTAAAAATTATTCTATTGTTATTAAATATAACACATTTATTACGACGAATTCACAAGTTGAAATTACGGTTATTAGTTTAATTGGATTGTATGAAATATTCAATATAGAACATTTAACAAAAGTAAGATTTATATTGGAGATTTTGTATAACTTCTTATTCATAAAACGATCATTTTCTTTGTCATTAGTCGCAAAAAGACTCTTAACTGAACATAGATTGATGAATCAAACACTGAAAAGTATGTTTATTTGTAAGTATAATTGTTCGTAATCTATACCTTCTAAAATTGTATTAGTCAATATATTTCATTTATTTTTTTGTGCAGTTTTACAATTTTCTTAAACCTTGACCTGTTTTTATTGTTAATAATTTTTGAATTGCTTGTTTTTTTTTACTAGCTGTAGCTTTTTCATTTTTTTGTTCATTTTACATAATTTGAATATGAATTAAAATAAATCAAAGAAACTGAACTATAAAATGAAAACGAAAACTCATTTTCATTTCTTATAAAATGCTCGAATGAATAAATTCTATGAAAATTTCCAGACATCCCTATACAAATTTATTCTCGATTTCCTAATTAGAAATTCATCGATGAATTCGCATAGGCATTACGAGAATACCTTTTTTCAACATCTCTAACTTATTTTCTACTTCACAACGTAAATCAAGACAACGACCAGTGAAGAAGTCAAGAAGTGTCTTTCTCTTTGTTTTAGATAATGAACAACTAGAAGAATTAAAACAATAACTTTTCTTGTTCACAAAAAATCAAGGTTAAAAGAATTAGGTTAAAATAAGTAGGTTAAGAGCACGATAATATATATAGAACAGGTGAAGAGAAAGGAAAAGAATAATAAAAGTGATGTACTCTATAATCATTCTAATTTTAATATTGATCCTTTAATATAATCCATTGTAAATAAATTATATTTATCGATCTTTAAATTTATTTGCAAACCAAATTAATTAATAACTGACCATTTAAGCAATTTACTTATTAATCATTTACGTTACTGATTTTATAATTATTTCATTTATTGACCGCAAATCATATTCCCATTATGAATATATTATCTGATTATTTTTTAGTTATTAACTTACAAAATAATTTGAGTATGAAGAAAATTTCAAAAATTCAAACTATTTTCGATTTATTCAATGTACAATGGGTTGAAAAAATTATATTTCATGAATATTGAACATTATTACATTTATATTTAAAAGCTTCTCTTACAACAGATACGGCTGAAAGATGTTTCAGTGTTATGAATAGAATAAAGACATATCTAAGATCAAGAATGGTACAACAACGTTTTCATCATGTCGTTATTCCTCATATTCACAAATAAGAACTAGATCAACTGGACTTGAACAGCATCTGCTTTAATTTTATTTTAAAAAATCAGAATTAAAAAGCTTGTTTTGCTCATGAATAGTAATTTTTTTTTATTTATGATTCTTTTTATTTGCTTTAGCCAATATTTAAGCTTTTTATGCTTCTGCTGATCACTTTTTAAAAATTTATAGACATGGATATGGATGAATGCATAAATATCTCTCTAATGAAAGTTGTGATCACGAAACTAAAAAATTCCTTTCCATTTTTAATGTTGTCCTTTCATCATTGTTTGAAAAAACAATTTTGAGCCTCCTCTAAATTAGAATCGTTCCGTCGTCTCTATTCTCGTATTGATCGGCAAACTATTACTAGTGAAGTCATAATATTTTATGTATTGTATACAATGATTAAAGAAAAACTAAATGCAACCATTGTTTTGCGCACATGTTTACGAATATTTTTCTTTTCTTTTATTTTGCTATTAACTGTTCCCCATCTTGTTGCTTTTTACAGTAGATGTATTGAGAGAAGAAAAATAGTATCTACACAAAGAAGAAAGGAGAGAGAGAGAGAGAATAAATTGCACACAATTGAGGTCAGAATAAGAGGGAATAGCACATATTTACGAATACTCGATTTACTCTTTATCATCCTCTAATAAGCAGCTTAGACAATACATGACAGAAAAAGCAAAACGATCATAATAGTCGTGTGAAAAAAAAATATCGAAGAACAATCTCTTCATATTATTGGACGTATATGGATGAATGCACAAAAACGAACTATATTTTGTGATATATATATATAACCACCAGAATCCTTTTATTTTATGCATAAAACAACATTGGTAGATTACACT